ATTGGGTTTTCTCCTTTAAACTGTGTACAAAAAATTTATTTAACCAACGATCTTATTGGTTAAATAAATTTATAGATTCAATTCAAGGTGTATATACACAAAGGTATACAATTATAGATGGCCGAGACAGAAGTTAATTACTTGAGCATCAGGGCTCAAATATCTGGAGGAGCCATGACGACAGCTATGTTTTAGGAAGTTGGATCAGCTAGTGCAGCCACATCCCTGAGAGGACCTTACTGCTAAAGTACCTAAGCAGCCCTGGAAATACTGGGCTGAGTCAGCCCCAGGAACCTGAGGCAGAAGGCTCCAGCCACCTTCTGGATTAATCCTCAGTCACCCTGCCTCTCCTTCCCTCTTTTCCTCCAACCTTTCCTGGTACTTGTAGTTAAGTGCTGAAACACAGCCTTCCTGCTCACAAGCCATCAATACAGGTAAAAGCAGCGTCTCCACAGATAAAAAACACAGGGGTATATGTATTTGTCTGTGGAGGTTGGGAGTAGAAAATTGGCACTAGTTAACTCAAAACCCTTTGGGAGAACTCTGGAAATTCCCATTACTCTTTCTGATAAGGCTTAAGCACCCCCTTCTCTGGGAAGCTTTTTGTAAATGACTCCACCTCCCTGCTTCTTATGGAGAAAGAGGTATGTCTTCTACAACCCCAGAGCCCCTTGTCCAGCCCCCTGCCAGAGCACCAACACACCAACATGTCTGTTCCTCTGAAAGTCTGAGAGTCCCTCAGGGTCACAGTTTACCTGATCTGTCTTAGGATGCCCTGAGGTTCATGGTCTCAGAGAAGGCAAGTGGCTTGCCCAGGGACACAGAACAGGGCTCATATTCAAACCCAGGTTTGTCTAACTCCAAAGCTTATGTTCTTTTCACTTTGTTACAGAGCCTCCTGAAGACGAAGAAGTGACTTTAAGCAGCCTGTGCTAAGCACCAGTCCGACACTGTATAAGTTCAGCAAGTATCAGAGTAGACTGGACAACAAAGGAAAGCTTCCTGAGAAACGAAGGACCTGAAAAGTCTCAGGATTCCAATGAGAAGAGAAGGAACAAGATATTTTAGGCAGGGAAGGAATGTTATAGGCAGAGACAAAATTAAGAGGCCTGAAGGTAGCAGAATAGTTTCCATATTGGTGAAGGAATGGGATTATAGCTGCCAGGTAAGAGTTGCTGTCTTTCTTCCTTCCCTTCCTCTCTTCCTTTCTTCCTTTCAAGACAGTCTCATCTGTTGCCTAGGCTAGAATGTTGTGGCAATCAGCCTAGCTCACAGCAACCTCAAACTCCTGGGTTTGAGCGATTCTCTTGCCTCAGCCTCCTGAGTAACTAGCACTATAAGCACCCACCATAATGCTTCACTAATTTTTCTATTTTATTTTTATTTATTTATTTATTTGAGACAGAGCCTCAAGCTATCCCCCTGGGTAGAGTGCCGTGGCATCACAGCTCATAGCAACCTCCAACTCCTGGGCTCAAGCGAGTCTCCTGCCTCTGCCTCCCAAGTAGCTGGGACCACAGGCGCCTGCCACAACGCCCGGCTATTTTTTGGTTGCAGCCGTCATTGTTGTTTGTCGGGTACGGGCTGGATTCGAACCTGCCACCGTAGGTGTATGTGGCTGGCACCTTAGCCACTTGAGCCACAGGTGCCGAACCAATTTTTCTATTTTTAATAGAGACAGGATCTCACTCTTATTCAGGCTGGTTTCAAACTTCTGAGCTCAAGTGATTCTCCTGCCTTGGCCCCCCACAGTGCTAAGATCACAGGTGTGAGCAACAGCTCTGGCATCAGAGATAGAGTTTTTACTCTGTTACCCAGGATGAGTATAGTGGTGTCATCAGAGCTCACTGCTCCCTCAAAAATCCTAGGCTTAAGCGATCCTTCTGGCTCAGCCTCTTGAGTAGCTGGGACTACAGGTGCATACAATGCTTGGCTAATGTTTCAATTTTTTGTAGAGATGTGGGCCTCACTATAATGCTCAGGTTGGTCTCAAACTCCTTGCCTCAAGCCATCTTCCCATCTTAGCTTCCCAAGTGCTAGGACAGATGTGAGCCACCTTGCCCAGATGAGAATTTGATTTCTTGATATACACTATAACAATTATGTATCGCAGAATACCTATCATGTACCTGTCATTGGTAATGTATAGACATTACCACTAATTTCCACACTATGCTATGAAGTAGGTTGTTGTTTCACATATAAGAAAGCTGAGGCTTAGAGATTTGAGGTAACACGTCCAAGGCAACACAGCCAGTAGATGGGGAAGCTGGACCAAAGGTGGCCTGACTCTGAAGCCTGACGTGTCCTTTCTATTACTCCCTGCTGCCTCCTAATGGGCCAGAGCTATTCACATTATCAGCCTGGCACTACTGCCTGAATCTCCTCTCAGCTCAAACGGGGACTTCTGGTCAGAGTAAGAATAGCTTGTCCCTTCTGGTTCTAATCTTTTAAGACCAGGGGACCCGTAAGTCCCTGTGTACTAAGCAATTTGAAGGAAAAGGGTCCAGAGTGGACCTTGGGAGCACAGGCTGGCCTCTATGTTTAGCCTGCCTTAGATCTCATAGAGAGCCCCTCCTTCTACATTGCCGAGGCAAAGCTGGTGGCAAGTACAGGCTAAGAAAGCTGGATGGGCAGGAAGGTGCTTCCTTCCCTGAAACCCTCTGGAGAAGATAGCCGAGGTCAAAAGACTTTGGAAACGTTACTGGCAATAGCCTCTAGGATGAGAGAGCATGATCCTGCCTCTCGGTTGGCTGGTCACATACAGAGGCAGACCAAAGGAGGTCAAGGGGGAAGGGAGGTCAGAAGTTGGCAGGCCTGTAGCCCTGAGTGACAGGGACTTGTTCAGGTCTGGGAGGGGGAAATAAATGGGTTAATGGTTTTGGCCCTTGAGGCTGAGAGGCTAGGGCAAAGGGTGTAAATGGATGCTGGCTAAAAAGGCAGGTGGGAAAAATGTAAAGGTGGGGGCTAAGGGCATCTGTTCCAAGTCAACAGGCAGGAACTATACCCCTGGACCAGCTCAAAAGGCCAGGCTTGGCCTGGGGGGTGAGGGTGGAGGGAACTTCATAAAAGGCCCTGCCTCTTCATTTCAAAGGTGTTCGATCTATAAGCCAAGGGGAAGGGGGTGCTCATAGAGTAAATTCTCTGTTTGGGGGTTGAGGGGATGCATGGAATGTAAACTACTGGACAATAGCTGGGAGTATGGATTTTAAGGCACAGCAGAGAGAAACCCTATGGTGAATGCTCCAATGCTTAGCTATATATGTCTCATGGGAGAGCTTTCCAAAGGACAAAGTAAGAAGCATTCTGCTTGTGGACATTTTCTAAGTCTCTGTTTCTGAGAATAGCAAGTGGTGGCTCTGAAGGCATCAGTCATCCGAGGCACTGTCAGTACATCCACAGTGTAGTACTGCCCTTCAGAGTATGTGCCCCAGACCAAGGCATGTTCTGGCTACTTTAGGGCAGGTCCCTTGTTGGCTGGGGGCTATGAGCCAGGCCAGAGTTTTAAGCCAGCCTGGCTGTGGCTAACAGAATATGGCAGTACTGGGGTCTCTCCAGGTCAGTCAAATTATAAGGGCTGGAAGAGGATCCAGAGATGTTGGGCCTGGAGAGGCAAAGCCTCTGGGACTGAAAGAACTTTTTCTTTTTGTAGAGTTGGGAGTCTCACTATATTGCCTAAGCAGGTTTTGAATTCCTGGCCTCAAGTGATCCCTGTGCCTCAGCCTCCCAAATGCTGGGATTATAGGTGTAAGCCACTGTGCCTGGCCTAAAAGAGTTTTCCTTGAAGACTGGTTTTTGAAAAAGTGAAGCACAGGCCTGAAGCATTGGGCAGCAAATGGCAGTTGGCAAAAGTTACAGAGAAGATCACAAATCATGAAAAAGATGCTTAACCAATCAGAGGGAAAGTAAAATGGAATAAATTTCCTGGGGAAGAAGCAGGGTTCCTTCTGTTTCTGACAAAATCCAATGAAATGTCAGCAAGCCAGCTGTTGGAGAGGTTTCTGCTGGTAGGGAGTCAGGCAATCAGAGTGGACCAGAGGACCTCTAAGGACCCTCCTAGTTCTCAGGTTCTGTGAAGAATGACCTCTAACAAGGGAGATCCTGGGATCTAGCCCCAAGAGAGGGTCACCAGAATTCAAGAAGTAGCAGAGAAGGCATAAAGAGGCAGACATGAGCCATGTACTCACTCAGGGGCCTGTGCTTCACATATCCTGCAAGATGCTTCCCTCCTCACCAAAGAGAGGCTGCAGTGGGATAACAGGAAGTGAAAGAAAGTGATTGCTTGGGAAGTGTTTGGCAGATATCTCTCTACCAGACCTGGAGAGGACCCTCCTGGTCTGAGTCTGGAGAGGGCACATACTGTCCTTCTGGTTATCTCTAAAGGGAGGGTATTTATCATTCAACACATTTATTTAGTGCTTAGTATGTGCCAAGTAATATGATACGTGCCAGGGGCACAAGTCAGCCATAGTTCTTGCCTTCAGAAAGCTCAGAATCAAGTTAGGCTACTGAATAAATAAAAATGATTTCAGAGTGTGACAAGTGCAATGATGGAAAAGAATAGTGTGCCATGACCCACAATAATGGAAGCAGCCTGAGACTAGGATGGAGGTGGGACCAAAGAGGACATCTTTTCAACCTGGGTTGGTAGAGATTTGAAGAGCTTCTCCGTTTTTCTACTAACCCTGCTTTGGAGGTCATAGGGGAGAAACGAGAACACTTCTGGGGAGAGTGACAATCAAGAAAACTCTCCTAGCATATACAGACAGGCCAGATAGCATGACGCATCACACATACACAGGCAAAGAACGCATACCAGCCACAGAAAGGCAAACCACACGTGCACTTTGCCACTCTCAGAGTGCAGCTACTCTCCAGGCACTTCTAAGCTCTGGAGGCTAAAAGGGCTCTGGTAAAGCATGTATTTCCAGAATGGAGACTGCCAAGTACTCTCTCCCCTTGCCAACCCTATCCCAGCCTTTGTCTACCCATGCTCTCACCTCCATCAAGCAGCTCCTTGACAGTGCGATAGTCGTCAGCAAGGACAGCGTAGTGCAGGGCTGTGCAGCCCTTGAAGCTGGCACGGTTGTTCAGCCGGTTGTTGAAGTCATCCTCTCGGGTAACCAGGACTGGGGGAGGGCAGTGAGACAAATCCTTCCATTAGCAACAAATGCATGAGCCACCGATCTCACCCGCTTTCTCTCAGCATTTTAATTTACTTACCTTCCCACTTACTAAACATAAAATGGCACCTACTATGTACCTGGCCATCTATGCTAGGTAAGAGGGAAAGGGGCCAGTTAGTCCCACAAACGTTTACTGACATTTGTTATATGTTGGGATTCATCTTAGGGACAAAAAAATACATCAGATAGGATCCTTGACCTAATCTGACAAGGGAAGTAGACAAGAAACAGATGTTTATAGAACTGTTTGTGATACAAGCTATATTAGAGGTATAATAGGATGATATAGAGAACCAGAGGACAGCTTAGTTCAACTTGGGCATGAAAAGAGGATCCCAGGAGATAGGAATCTTCAAGGATGAAGAAAGCAGGTTGGGTAGGACAGAGCAAAAATGGAGCAGGAGAAGGGGAGGACACCTGGCAGAAGGAGGGAGGACTTGAGGTGGGATCTCACCTAATGTGCACTTTGCAAGGGTGTATAACACGCCCCCTGGGTAAGGGGCTCTTCTACAAATGGAACTTTACTCTGGAAGTGAGAACGATGTAACCTAAAAATTGTACCCTCATATTTAATTTGAAAAAATAAAAATGTTATTAAGAAAAAAAAGAGTGGGGCAGGAGACAGTGGCTTTTCTTAGCAGATTAACATACCTGTCTACTATGAAGAAATTTTAACTAGAATTTTTTCTTTCTTTATAAAAGAGGTTCAGAAGGTATTGAAATTTCTTCAAATTTACAAAAACAATTAAAATTCTGAATCCATAGTCAAGTAAAAAGAAGAAAAAGGATCAATATCTCAGCAACTTGAGAAACTATGTTTATTTATTTATTTATTTGTAGAGACAGAGTCTTATTTTATTGCCCTCAGTAGAGTGCCATGGTGTCACACAGCTCACAGCAACCTCCAACTCCTGGGCTTAGGCGATTCTCTTCCCTCAACCTCCGGAGTAGCTGGAACCACAGACACCTGCCACAATGCCCAACTATTTGTTGTTGTTGTTGTTGCAGTTTGACCAGGGCCGGGTTCGAACCTGCCACCCTTGGTATACAGGGCTGGTGCCCTACTCACTGAGCCACAGGTGCCGCTCCCAAGAAAGTATATTTAATATTTTGTATATACCTTTCCAGATTTCAAATATACATATATGTATATAGTCCCTACAAAATTGAAATATACTGTAAATGCAATTTTATAATCTTTTTTACCCCTAATAAATACATGTAAACATTTTTTAAAAGGTAAGAGGAAAAAACATTTCATGTGGTCAAAGAACCAACCCTTAAACCCTCAACCAGGCTTACTCTAGGGCTAATGTTCATAATTCTCCCACTCTGATTTGATATAAAATAACCTAAAACCAGTTTATCACTTTTACAAGACTCTCTGGGTTGGGTGACCACAAATACCCCTGTTCACCCAGGATGTCCTGGACAATCCTAATTTGGATAATATATTGGAAGGTTATCCCACCTCTGGGTCCCTTCCTTGGGAAGACTCCACAGAGCAATCTCTAACCTGCTCAGGGATGGAGTTTCTTCTGTCCCATGTGGAAGTTATCTGGGTAACTGTCTTACGTGTCCTCTTGAGCTGAGTATGTGAGGGATGGAATCTGTGCTCTGATGACCTATACATCTTCTCTTCCTTAGTCTATGGCATAGGGTCTGCAAAGAATGGGGTCCTCTAACCTCTCACTGGATAAAGGAAAGAGGTAATCTTGCCCAGGTAGTCAAAAGCATCAGACAATTCCTAAACCATTTTTTTTCAAGTGGTCTTGGAATAGAGTCTATGCCTTTCCCCTGCAATAATACTGAACATCCTACTTGAAATTTTGAAAGCCATAAGATGGTCGTGTCTCACCTAATACTGACAGATTTTATTTACTGACTCTAGGTGTGCATGGTGTGGTCACTTCCCACAATCAATCTTTTTTTTGAGACAGAGTCTAAGTATGTCACCCTTGGTAGAATGCCGTGGCGTCACAGCTCACAGTAACCTCAAACTCTTGGGCTCAAGGAATTCTCCCACCTCAGCCTCCCGAGTAGCTGGGACTACAAGGGCCAGCCACAATGCCCGGCTATTTTTTTGTTGCAGTTTTTAGCTGGCCCGGGCCGGGCTCAAACCCACCACCCTTGATGTATGTGGCTGGTGCTGCAACTACTGTGCTATGGGCACTGAGCCCACAAACCAATCCTTAATCTTTTTAATTCTCATAACTATCTTACATAGTAACACTTATTATTCCCATTTCATAGATGGGGAAATTAAGGGTCAGAGGTCACACAACTAAAAAGTGGTTGAAGATTAGAAACCAGGTCTAATCTGAGTTCCACTCTTCTTTTCCATCGTATCATGCTGTCATCTTCATTTTGCAAATGAGAAAATCAGAACCCAGAGAAAGGGGTAGAGTCCATATGTTCTAGTCTCAGCTTTGGCTTTTACTCCCTCCTCTTCTCCTTCTCAGGTGAAGGTGCAAGACACTTTCTATGGAACTTGCTCTTAGTAGAAAATAGCCTGAGGTTTGGAGCTATCTCCTGGATAAGCTCATATGAGGGTGGAAGCATTTCAATGTTTGGTCAAAACGAAGCCAGAGTGTGTTGCTGGAAAACAGACTATACTCTCCCGTGGTTATAGAATCAATGGTCCATCAGCTCTTCTACTCCAGAAATGGGCTCTTCAGACTGGGGATCCCCCACCATCCTTCACCCTCCCTGCAAAAGTGTTATCTGTCCTTTCCTGAAGCAGAAGAACAGGAAGAAAGAGGGCCTCTGAACAGCTAACATGAGTCCCGCATGCAATGGCATCTATACTTTCTCCATAAGAGGGCCCTTTAGAACCTCAATCAGAGATTACTACCTCTTAGTCATAGTCCTATCAAATCATGCCAGGTGATCTTGTTTCTAGCGCACTGCAGATTAGGAGAAGGAAATAAGAAGGCCAGGGAGGATGCTTTAGAATCAAGCAGATTGATTACAATCAAGCACTGGCCAGGCAGGGAGGGAAAGAACAGGACAATGAAAAGCTGAAAAAGGAATTCAGAGTACAGCACCTCAGAACCCCCTTAGGGCATCACTGAACTGCCACATAGGACATTAACTGCTGGATATAATGATGAACCTCAGGAAAAGTGATAGTTGGCTTAAGAAAGCAAGAAGGGTGTCATCCATTTTACAAAGAAAATCCATCATTCATTCAACAAACAACATTTAATGAGCACCAATGCATGGTGGTCTCTTTTGGAGTTACAGTAATAAATAAGACACAGTTCTGACTTTCAGAAGCTAAGTCTAAGGCAAGAATCAGACACTGAGCAGATGAATTATAATGCAGCTTTTCACAGTGCAATGACAGAGCTATACACAGGGTGTTTACCATAAAAGCAGATGAATTCAAGAAACATAGGTGGGGGTTTTTGGTTCAAATGTCAGCAGAGTGCCAGCGTCACAGCGCATCTAATAAGCTAATAAGGAGCGTCCACAAGAAGGAGGCCCGCTGATGACCTCTGAGGTCTCATCTCTCACCAACACCTTCCTAACACTCCGTCTTGCTTCCGAGCTTTTGTAAATACTATTCCACTGCCTGGAACATCTTCCTCTTTTCCCACATTTTCAGTTGGCTAACTCCAATACATATGTGATTAGAAGTCACTTCCTCTAGTGATTCCTCCTAAGTCTGAGGGTGTAGGCAGTCCCTCAAAGAGAGATGTTCTGAAAGAGATAAGTTCTATAGTTTTGTCCTTAAGATGAATTTGTATGTAAGTTGGAGCAGGTGCATTTACCTATTACCTGTAATAGCCTCCGTTTATAAGTGGAAGTTGTACGTCAGTCAGATGCTTGTAACTTGGGGATTTACTGTACCAACCTCTGTTTGTAAGTGTGACTCATAATGTCAGTCGTATGTTTGTAACTTGGGGAAATACTGTATGTGTAATGGCTTCTGCTTGTTAAGTGTGAATTGTATGCAAGTCGGATTTTTTTTTGCAGTTTTTGGCCAGGGCTGGGTTTGAACCCACCACCTCTGGCATATGGGGCTGGTGCCCTACTCCTTGAGCCACAGGCACCGCCCACAAGTCGGATGTTTGTAACTCAGGGGGGGCTCTCATTGCTCCCGAGAGCTCCCCTAACACCTTAGGCATGTGCTTTTTATAGTATTTACTACATTCTGTTGCAATCACCTCCTTACTTGGCTGTTTCCTCACTAGTCCCAAAACCCAGTGAGGACAGAAGTGTGACTATCTCCTCCACAGTTATATCCCCAGGGCTCAGCACAGGGTCTGGCCATAAATACTTGACAAATTCTTGTTGAATCACAAATAAACACTCCATATATAAACAAGGCCCTGATATTATTTTTGGTTTTGGACTAAAAACAATAATAATAACAACAATGCCAGTCAACAAGTATTTAGTGGAGGCAATTGAGCATGACTGATAAATAGGAGCTCTGGAGCCAGACCACTTGTGTTTAAATCCCAGTTCTGAATTTACTGTATAATCTTGGGCCGTCCACCCAACCTCTGTGTGCCAAACTCCTTTACCTGTAAATGGCGATAATAACTGTAACCCCTTCACAGGATGCTGTAAGGATTAAATGACACTCTATGAACAAAGGGAGTAGGTGCGGTGCCTGGCCTGACACACAGTACCCC